TGCTGAACCTCCTGATGGTTGTTATATAATCCAGAGACGACGTTGATTATGTACCTTGGTTCAAGGATTTTCTTATGATTTGTTTATCATGTTGTAGTGCTTCAGATTGTAATACATAGATAGCATTCTTTATAAGTCTTAATGACTGTTTGATTTGTGGGTCAGACTATCACGACTGTTGGCTTTATACTTGTTTACTGATCGGGTCGTCTTTGTCCAGATTTACCTGGTATTTTTGGCCACTGTGTGACAGAGTGTTGGACTAGATGGGCTGTTGGCCTGATCCAACATTGGCTTCTCTCATGTTCTTATCAGCATCCAGAAGCCCCAGAGACAAGTCAGGTTCCTTGAGGCATACCAGCTACCCCCTCCCTACTTAGTGTGTGGAGAGTGGTGGTTGTACTAATGAACGTTGCCCATCACTCTCCACCTTTACACAAAGCAAACTTGAATTTGGAGACTATAATGGATTAGATGAGCATAAATTATCTGAACCTCACTCCAGAGAAAACGGAATTGTGTTTATGTATTTATTACGTTTACCTTCTACCTTTGCCACCCATATGATGCTCAAGGCAGAATTGATGGTGGTGGTAGACCAGATGTCTGGGGAAATGCCTACTCTAAATGGCGCTAAAAGCTCCACAGAAGATTAGGTTTGCCATATGTGGGGTGCTTTTGGAATCTCAAATAACGCCTGTGATCAGGACCGCCTTTCATCAGCTGCAGCTGATTTGTCAGTCCCACCCATTATTGAAACAGAGCTTGCCACTGGCACCTATGGTTTGGCTACTTCTAGATTTGACTTAAGTAATGCACCCTACATGGAGCTGCCTTTGAGTAAAATATGGAAATATCAGTTGGTCCAAAACACTGTCCCTTCTGGCTTAGTGTTGGAGAAAAAAAAATAATTCTATAGGTCTAGTATTCCAACAATTCCACCGGTAAATGCCAGTTTGGTATCTATTTGGAGCAAAGCTTTTTATATGGTTGTCCAAAGTTCTGGAATCCCCTGAGAAATCATGCAGCTGTACCTATTATATTCATTTAATTATGACCTTTCTTCTCTGCCAGGTTCTTAATATAGGTCTTTAAAGTTGACTTTTAATGCTAGTTTTAGTGATGTTTCTGTTCGCTTTTATCTAATGATTTAGAGTCAACTGAACATTTTGTATATAAAGCAGTTATGAAATCAAGTAAACCCATAAAGTGGTGTTCCATAAAAGAGGCAGAACACAAAAGAAACATACAATTTGATTATTAGGTCACTTAGCTGGACCAAGTCTCGTTGTTATTCCTGCTACGGCTTCTCTGTTATGACCTTGGGTAATTCACTAATTTGTAATGTATACCAGTTGATTTCTTTTTGAGAGAAAGAAATGCAAACGCTTAGTCTTTGGACTTGTTTTTGGCTTGGAATGTAGCACGTAATCAAGACTGACACAGCAAAGAAACAGAGGATCAACAACTTAAAGAAGAGAAGGGAATCCATATGAAGGCTGGTTCATGCCCATCACTAAGATCTTTCTATTGTCTCACCTGGACAAGGCCTAATGTTACACATGATTGACTCCACAGCATTGCCATCACATGACCTTCCACCATGTTGGGCTGGAGGGTTGCTACAAGTTCTGGTTCTTGTCTTGTTACCTTGGCCACAGGTTTTAGAACACTCTTCCCAGGAACCCCACCCTGACCAGTTGCCATCCACTAAACAAAACAGAGAAAGAAATATAACATTAAGAAAGACCACATAATGTATTACAATAGAAGTGTATGGACACCCCCGCCCCTGCCCGGGATTGAGATTATTGTAACTAATTATTCCCTTTAATTGTGGCCCATATGAACAAAACTGACTTCTGGGTTTCTGGTACCCAAAAGGCTAGATATTACTATACAGAGACAGCAATCATAAGTACGTCTATTCAAAACCCCATGCAACTCTGTTCACCGGGATATACGCCCATGAAAGTGTTTTTAGGATTGCACTGAAATGTAGTTGATACAATTTACCTGGACAGGGTTTGTTCTGACAATTGCGTATCTCAGAATCAGTCGCCATACAGTGTCGTCCACCATTTGCAGGGAGAGGATTGTTACAGAGACGGATCCTCCTCTGAATACCTTGGCCACACGTTACACTACATGGCTGCCATTCCAGCCATTCAGAATAGCCACCATGCACTGCAACAGAATAATTGCAATTATTTTAGTCAATGTTCATCTCATAGTCAGGCATGTGTATTTTGTTTCTTCTTCCCTCTTTAAAAACTGAATTGATAAATTGAAAAAAAGTGTTGATTGTCTCAATCATTGTTTATTTCAGCACAACCCACCACTGAATTGCAATCTGAGCTGCACGCTGGAGACAAGCCCACAGGTCTGTGTGCCCCTCTCATTCTGTGATGGGCTGGCCTCTGGGGCAGGCCACAGGACACTCCTTGAAAGTTGACTGGCTGACAGCCAATGCTGGGCCCAATTGTCCAAAATCATCCTTGCCCCCACCCCCAATTATCACACAGGAACAAATGGGCCCCCAGGCCATGGCTGGAAGCCTGTCTTGTCTCAAACACTTTGTATTTCAGCACAACCCACATATAATGGAAAATAGTCACAACCAGAGGTCATTTCAGGGGGGATCGCGGGGGATCGCGGTTCCCCTGGGTGAGGTACGGGGGGCGGGGCACATGACGAAGCCCCGCCCCCTGCTTCCGGCCGCCCCGCTTCCGGCCCTCATTCAGCCAGGAGGAGGCAGGAGAAGAGGGAGGGTAAGTTGCTTCCTCCCTGCCTCTCCCCACCCCTGCCTGCCTGGGGCCAGGGAGGGCCTTCGCGGGGCTTCCTTGCACTCCCGCCGGCCTTGCAGGTCCACCGCCGGGCCCCTCATGGGGCTTGGCAGTGGAGCTGCAAGGCTGGCGGCGGTGGCCGGGACCGTTGGGGGCGGGGTGTGTGGCCTTATGACACATTTCCGGTGATGTCAGGGGGTGTGGCCTTATGACACACTTCCGGTGATGTCAGGGGGTGTGGCATATGCTAATGAGTTATGCTAATGAGTTCCCCTAGCTCTTTTTCTACAAAACGACCCCTGGTCACAACAGTGATGGATTTTCTTTGTTCATGTTTAGAGAAGGAGAAAGAAAAAAGAAGAAAAAGATGGATACATGATGTAAAGAAAAAACTGAAGAGGGGTCCCATATTGCAAGGCGGGTTTAATGGTTTGAAGTTGTTTGATGTCATCTTTGAACCCAACCAGGCTTGACCTGGGCTACCTCCTGGATTGCAATAACAGTGCTTCTTAGGGGAATACTGGAATACAAATGATTGATGAAGATCTGTGGGTTCTATACCTGAAAATGCAGAAAGCCACTAACCTATTCAGGCTTCCAAGGTAATGTTTCTCAGAATTATGATAGGTGAGGTATACTTTTTCTTGAATTAAAATTGGAGGCACACTTCATTCTTACCCTTGAGAATGTTTTGTTTTATGGTACATACAAGTAAGAACTATACACTCTGCATCTCTGCATTGGGATCTCTGCATCTCTGCACTGGGAGACATTGAATGACCCAACACTATCTAATGCAGAGATGTGATAGTATTATCTGCATCCAATGGATGTTAACTGGAAGAAGACAATTGCAAAGCTGTGAGTCATGCAGAGAAGATGGGAGCCTTCAATTTTTAATGAATTTATTTCTTGCAGCACAACACCAACCATCTTGTGGAACCCAGTTTGTAAACTACTGTTCTAGACCACAAGAGATGTAAATAGGAAATGTGGTCTCTCTTTATTGGCCCCACTTTGCTTGATAGCATGCAAGATTTGGAGTTACCCAAGAACTCCTCATCCGACAAAAAGAAAAGGCGGCGTAACTCTCAGCACCAACCTTGAACAATGACAGGCACTTTGACAAGGACGGAGCCCATGAGATTTCTAGCCACGCATTCATATTCAGAAGTGTCCTCTTTCTGCACAACTGCAATACGCAAGGAGCCATTAGTCAAAGTGATAATTCGGTCCTGACTGAGGAGAGGCCAGCCTTGGCGAGACCATTCAATGGTTGGAGAAGGTTCTCCGGCCGCTTGGCAGTTCAGGACTACTGTGGTTCCAGCATCAACAATGGTCTCTACAGGTTCAATTGTAATAACAGGCGCACCTAAGAAAAACAGAATGTTCCCAGCTTGCTGAATATGGCAATAAATCAATAAGTGCAAAGGCGCTCTTCCTTTTTTTCATGTACTCCTCCCATGGTATGCTCAGTAATACATAAGCATTGAGCAATAACTAAAAATAAAGCTGAAATGTTTCTGAATTTTGACAAGCCTCTGTGACTTTATATTCCTACCTGGACAAAAAGGCCCAATTGTAGATATATAAAAGACAGGCATGGGGAGTGGGGAAGAAATCAAGAAGTAGGGGGAAAGTGGCAGGAAACAGGGGTCACCGGGGATGTGTGGGGAGAAGATATTTGTGAATTTCCTGCATTGTGCAGGAGATTGGACTAGATGACCCTGGAGGCCCCTTCCAACTATATGATTCTATGCTTCTATGAAAGTGTTCAGTAGTTACATCCATGGGTCATTTCCTGCAGGAGCGCACGGGAACGGAGCACATGCAACAAGCCCCACCCCCTGCTCCCAGCAGCCCTCAGTCAGAGCAAGAAGCAGCCAGGTAAGTTGCAGAGCCCCCCCCTGGCCCCAGTCCAAAACAGTCCAGTGGCACCTTTAAGACCAAGTTTTATTAAGGTACAAGCTCTCCCTCCTCTGCGAGGACAGATCTGCACGTTCTCCCCCCCCAAAATACCTAGCAATCCAAAACAGTCCAGTGGAGCCTGAGCGGTGGGTGTTGCCTTCTGACACACTTCCGGTGATGTCAGGGGGTGTGGCATATGCAAATGAGTTATGTTAATGAGTTATGCCAATGAGCTCCTGCACCTCTTTTTCTACAGAATGACCCCTGGTTACATCCACATTTCTGGTATTTGGGAAACACGGGGCTGATGACCCATGTTTGCTGACATAACACGTAGTTCCAGCCTGGATTATGAAGCCCACTATGGACACTGGCAAGTCATTTCTTCTGAATTTGACATGCAGTAAATATGTCCAACTGTAAATATCACAGCACCCAATATTAAGAATACAATTTTATGGCTCACTCTGCAGTGTTAGGGTCACACTGTGTTCTACCACACCAGCATCATTTGAAGCTATACATGTATATTCTCCAGCATCTTCATTCTAAAGAAAAAAACAAGCGTATTACAAGATGAGTAATCAGTCTAGATTTGACTCCCAATGTACATTGCAATACATGCACCTGAGGCTCAGAAATAAGTACTATGCATCAGGGAATAAGAATGAGTTTGCATTATATTAACAGCTGCAGAAACACTCACTGTTTATATGTGCCATAGAAGTAGTGGAAAGTGCCGTCAAGTTGCAGCCAATTTATGGCAACCCCATATTCTAATATACTAATACCCCATTTACTAATATTTTTTAACAAACTAACATTTTATGTGTATCTTGGAAGTTGCTTAAGTGTGTTGAATCCCCTCTGTTGTCTGTCTTTGGCACCATATCACTGCCCTGCTGATAGGAATGGAACCATCAGGTTTGCTGTTAGTAGGAGTGATAGATTAATAAAGGGGATGTTATGCCAATTACAAAGAACAGAACTATAATTTATTTTTAATCCATAGTCTCTTTTTTATGAATATAGGGTTGTTCTATTTATGCAGCTCCCCTGAGCAACCTGGATGAAGGGTGGGATGCTGATGTGATAGATAAATCCAGTGTAATTATTTAATTCAATTACTACACATATGTCACATCAGTACAGATTTTGAGTAATGACTTACTACTGTGCCATAGATGGCAAGAGATCCATTAGCGAGTTGTCGGATTCGATTGTTTATCTGAATAGCAACTCCTTTTTTGCTCCACTGAATTGTTGGAAGTGGGTCTCCTCTAACTTCACAGTTGAGAACAGCGTTGCCGCCCAGAGGCTCAATCCGACTGGAATGATAATCTCCCATGAAGACAGGAGGCTCTGAAGGGGGAGAGGGAAGATTCAGCAACTGGATAGAAATGAAGCGGGATTCAAACAACAAAAAAATGAAGCCATCTAGAAAAACCAACTCAGATTGAAAACAGTAAAAAGTAATGACAAATCTAGATGTTTGAAAGTTAATTTAAAACTCATGTTTTATCAAAAATTGAAATTCTGGCATGAATTTTCAACTTCAGGGTTAAGACTCACCTTTTAAACAAAATCCTGTTCTAGGATCCAGCTATCTACAGGTGGAAGGTGCTTCACATGGAGATTTCATGATGTTCCCTTGCCCCTAGAAGTCCTTTTAGAACCTGGGAAACCTGCCATACAGGTTTAGGGGTGCAGTGAAGAGAACAGGGTGAAACTGCCACCCTGTCTCTTTTATCAGTGAAGTTGTGTTTATGGAAAGAGGTGGCAAGTTCACTCTCTTATGGCAGCCCCCAACCCACAAGGCTGTCTGAGAAACCTGGGGATCACTGTTTGAGGATCATCGTGAAAGGAGCCACTGAAAGGAGGGTGATATGGTATATAAATGCACACTACTCCCGCAGACAGGATGCACTTCCAGGTTTTATGCATTTCTGAGCCTTTCAACGATTTTGAATGTAAGAAATCCACAGAATTTAAAATTTATGTGAATTTAGTACTGATTTGTCCAAGACGTTTCAAATCCTACTGCTGATAGGGGCCAACTACACCCTGGTTTTTGCAGAAGAAAATTTGTTTCAAGTTTTACCTCTGAGGATGCCAGTCACAGCTACTGGCGAAACGTCAGGTTCTACAATGCCAAGACCATGGCTACACAACCTGGAAAATCTACAGCAACTAATGAACTCCGGCCGTGAAAGCCTTTGACAACATATTTCCCCTTATTGTTGTCAGATACAATGCCAAACTGAAAGTCAATTAAATTATTCCCAAATTTACCAGTAATACATACCTTTAACATACACAAAGCCTAGAGCCTTGGCAGAACCAACAGTGTTTTCTGCTGTACACACATAGGTACCAGAGTCTTCTTTAGACACTCTTTTGATAACAAGTTCACTGAGTCCATTTACATCATCGTATTGTGCTGGAGAAGGAGAAAAGGGGGAAGAAAAAGGAAAATAAAAGCATAAGCCAGCTTCAATCATAAATACCCAGGTCTGGATGTACAGCACCTCCTATGCTACTCTGTGCTAAAGGTCTTTAGTGGAGGCCACTGTCAAGCACACCTTTTCTATGCCATACTGTACTTCCGTTTGAGTCAAGTGGCACCTTTAAGACCAACAAAAAATTATTCAAGATATGAGCTTTCATGTGCATGCACACTTCCTCATATACATTGAAATGGAAGTTAACAGTTCATATATATAGGCAGGTGCCTCTACATGGGTGAACAGCAAATTAGCATACAACTTAATAAAGATGTTTTGATCTGTATTTTATGTTTAGGATTTTTTTTGCTAGTTATCCTGCAATTGTTGAATTCCTTTCTGGCAAAGATGCACCTAAACTTGACCATATTGTGACTGCAAGAGTTAACAAGATATTCAGTGGTTTAAAATTTAGATATATTAATTTTTTAGTAGTTAGTCCAAACTGTTTTAAAAGGCTTTGATACTTAGGTTTATTTTCAGATGCTCCCAGGCAAAAAAACAAAACAAAACATATAGCACCCCCCATTTTGTATTATCACTCATTGTTCTTTGAGAATTTGCTGTTATTTCTTTGTCATGCTTGTCAAAAGAAGGTTTTATAATGGACAGGGAGTGCTGCTCTAGTTATCCGAGTGCTTGCTCCTCTCCCCCCCCACCTTCATCAACAAGTCTACCCCTACAAAATCTACTCACTCTGCCCATTGGCATTAAAGATTTGGCAGGGACTGTGGTGCGACTCCAGAATCAATGATGAACAAAGGAACTGGTCCACTGATTGCATACTAAAAAGTTGCAAATTAATTGTTAACTGCCCTACACATTTTGAGTTCCTTTGATCACATATATCATTGTATACACACTAGCTCAAGTTCAGGCATCATGTAAAACAATGGTTTAAGGAAACCAACAATGTCGCTTTTCCAATGTCTACTAAAGATCTGTGCTTTATAACTCAAAAGTTTGCAGCTTCCTTTGCCAAACAGAAGCTGATCCAATTTAGGTCAGGAATGTAATACCCTCTACCAAGTAAAGAACATAGTTCCCAAAAGGCACATAACAATTCTATGGCAAAAATGCAATCATTCTAGAATAACAGCTATTGTCATATTACACTGTCAGAAATGTTGTCAAAATCACATTATAAGCATTCTTTGCTGAAAAACTAGTTTCCAGGAGTTCGCTTACCTGGGATAATATTATTGTTAAAGGTCCATGTTATTTTAGGTAGAGGAATTCCAGTTGCTTTACAAGTTAAGTGAAGCCGTTCTCCTGTGTTTAAAGCTATGTCTCCAGGTAGTTCAATAAAGGATGGGAGCACGTGGACTGTCAAACGGACAGTGTGGCTGTCTTCGCCAGCAACATTGGTAGCAACACAGGTGTAATTACCAGAATCTTCAGGCTGTAGGCAGGGGGGGGAAAGAATGGATTTTATAATTATCATGCAACATAGTGCAATTAATATAATGGTTGATAGCAACACAGGTGTAATTACCGGAATCTTCAGGCTGTAGGCAGGGGAAAAAAAGAATGGCTTTTATAATTACCATGCAACATAGTGCAATTAATATAATGGTCTTTTGTACTCAAGGGGCTTTCAAAGGCATGTGACAAATTTAGATTTAGATTTGAATTAGTCAAATTATTAGGCTGGGATAGGCATGGTTTTACTCATGCATGTCAGCAAGGAGAAAGAGTAAGGTAGGGATGGGACAAGGTATGGGTTATGACATCTGTGAAACAGTAGAGCACAGAGAATTATCTAACAATTTAAGCCACTTAGATCAAGTTCTACAAGCAAACATACATCTTTCCTTTGTTTAACACATATCTCTTCCAGCTCTTGGTTGTCAAGGTCTTTTAGCCTTTCCAATAAAATGTCAATTTCAGCCACTTCTAAAATCTTTTCAATCAGTTCATCATCTGTTGGTACCTGGTTCACTTTCCAATATTTTGCATACAAAATTCTCGCTGCTATCAGCAAGGAAAATTACTTGACATGATTTTTTTGCAAACAAAAAAACTAGAAATGCTAGAGACATGGCGGAGCTTTAGAAGTTAATTAGCTGGTCTTTCTAAAGCAAATACACTAGATGTTAAATGGATTAGATTTAACATTGTTCTGAACACATTCTTTAGGACTTGCATGTTTTATCATATTAACCTCCCGCTATATGGTCACCAATGACGCCATGCCAATGGACTTGCATAAAGATACTGCTGTAAACATGGTGGCAGGATCAGAACTAAACCTGAACCTTTCCTTGGAGATGTTGACTCCATGCACCCCATTCCCATTCACTGAAGTTGATAGTCTGCTTCTCAATTTGGAAAAGTAGCTGATCGGAGAGACTAAGTATGCAGAATCTGTGTTGTGACATTCTAGCGCCATAGGATCTGCACACAGTAGATGCCCTCCACAGACCTGTATGTAGGAAGCCTATCAGAGCACTTTGATATCCATCCCAAGCAAATGGCTGCAAAGCTAACGGCTGGGGCACTACTGAGCCCCATCACTACTGAGCTCCAGGTTTCTTATGGACTCAGGGCAAGCAAAAATACATTCCAGATGACCACCAAACAATCTACTCTATTGTGCAGGTTGAAGTGTATATATTCCTCCCCACAAGGCAATGCAATGCACATTTTCCAAAATGATTGTTTTAAAACCATTTTTCGAAACATTCTATTTCCCCCCCAGGAGAAAAATAGGTCAATTGCTTCCTCCCTCCCTCCCGGGTATCATTTATTGAATGGATGCTTACCACGGCATTGTCCACAATGAGATTTCCATATTGCACAGCTGTGTGTTTTCCCACTGTGTTCTTTAAAAGAAATCCATCTCTTTTCCAGTTTATAGATGGTGTTGGGATTCCATCAGCAGGGCATGGTAAAACAACTTGTGAATTTTCAGCCACTGAGTACTGGTCCTCTGTATTCTGTATCTTTGGTGGGACTGCATGAATATAAGGGGGGGGGGAGGAAGACTAGCTGCATTCCATAGCCTATCAGGCTTTTACTAAGTCACAGTATTAAGCAGTGTGTATTACACTCATATCCCAGTATTAAACACCATTTAGCCTGACCGATTTAATTTAACGTGGAAAGCCATTTCAATGATTGTTATATTTTGTCTAAAAGCCTTCATGCTATGTAGACTTCACTGAATAAATTATAACAGGGAAAGACACACAGTTTGTAAGAAGGATGGTAGCACTCTAACAGTACATTAGAGGAGACATGTAAACTGTGCAAGAAAGTAATTTAAGATAGATACTGCAGTTTGTTATAGAGAAAGGTTTTTTATGTTCCAAAATTATATTTAAAACTATGTTTCTAACTTTAAAAAAATTCAGCATCTTACAGGTCGAACTTAGGACTGGATACACAAAACCAATTACTGGCTATTTAATAGTGGTAATGGTTCAACTGATTATCAGGAAGGGGCTGGAACATTTATTTATTTATTTCATTTATAATCTGTCTTTTTTTTTTTAGATAATCAGGATAAGGGTGCAATATACTCCAGCTATTATAAATGCTGATAAACATGACCAGGGAATGATTACATGATGGTTAGAATTTGATCTATTTGCTTGTGTATTTACTGTTATTTTGGTGGAAATTCATCATTGGACCATCGACAGGACAATTTCACCCTAATGAAATGATCGATACTATCTTCAGAGACCATCTTGTTGTATGGAGCACTTTATTTGTTTTTGTTGTGACTTAATAGCTTTTAATGTTTTATACTGTTTTTATGTATGGGCTTGTGCCCCCGTGTAAGCCACCCTGAGCCTGTTCGCGGGAGGGCGGGGTACAAATGCAATAAATAAATAAATAAATAATGCACTGACGATAACTGTATGAAAAGGAAAATATGGATCGATCAGAGCACGTGTACTTTGAACAAACTATTAGATGAGGAAAGCCCTTTTTCACAATTGGCTCAGAAATCAAACTGAACCAAGAGACTGGTGTCAGAATATGCAAGGGCATCCCATTAATTTATGTCTTGGGACTAGACCCTTGTGCAAAATCTCCTGCTCCTGACTCTGTATTGTTCATAGATTCTACAAGCAAGATTAAGTAGCAAGACAGGAACTATAGATATATATATGTGTGTTTGTATGTGTGAATGTATATATAATATAAAATGTTAAACAATTGTTTAGAATGCCTATGGACTTAATAAGGCTGCAGTGTCTGGTGTTCCCAGGCAATCCCCTGGGTTGTCCAGACCTAATCTTACTTACCATGAATGGTGAGTTCCACACTAGAGCTGCCCGATCCAGCCACATTTGTAGCTGTGCATGTGTAACGTCCAGCATCAGTAGTCTGAGCAAATGCAATCTGCAAAGCTCCTGTGCTGAGAATTCGCTGTCTCAGGGACTCTACGATCTGCTGCCCATCTTTGTGCCATGCAATCTCAGGAGCTGGATAGCCCTCTGCTTCACACAATAGAGTGGCTGGCTTATCCACAACAACGACATATTCCTTTGGGTGAGGTCTGATAGCTGGAGGAACTGGGGGGGGGGGAGGGGAATGAAAACAAAGGAATCAATTGCACATAACAGGAGCATCATCTCCCATCATGTTCTTGTTGATTAAATATGAGGAACACCCTCTCTCTCTCTCTCTCTCTCTCTCTCTCTCTCTCTCTCTCTTAAAAAAGCCTTTTGCCTTCTTTTTGCTTCTCCTCTCAGCATTAGATCTGGAGACTGGCCTTCTGCATAGAACACCTTCTTTCATTATTTGGCTAGTGTAAATGCAGGGAAACAACAAACATTATTCTAAAAGAGAGACTGTGCCATGTTAGTGGCTGGAGTAGAGGGTATATGACTGTTGTCTTTGGTAGAGTCAATATAAATAAAAGTCCCTTGTGTTTGAAACTGCTGGGATTTAACTTGTACTGAAATTTTCAGAACTTCTTTATGGAAATAAATAGAGATGTGGAGGCCTCCCTGAGCTGCTAGAAAAAAGTTGGTCATCATTTCCAGTGAGCTTTTACAAGGGTTACCTTCCCATGAATTCTGCTCACTTACTTTACCTCTGTATACACAGGATATATAGCAGAATGCCAATATGAAAAGACAAGGAGGAGGAGCTGGAGTAAACAGGCTGCCCCTAACTTGCTTGTGTCTGAGTGTGCTGACCTGGCTGGTTTATCTGGCTTCTCCAAACATGTGCATAGTGTCTATGCATGTACAAATTATGCATGTATAGGCTGCAGCTCATCAAAGAAGGGCGATTTCCTGACCCAGCATTCCCAATTATGAGGACAGAGCTGACAAATATACAGTTTGTATGTGTGCAGACACTATGTTGGGATCCAAGATCACTGCAGACGGTGATTGCAGCCATGAAATTAAAAGATGCCTGTTCCTTGGGAGGAAAGTGATGACAAACCTAGAAAGCATAATAAAAAGTAGAGACATCACCCTGCCAACTAAAGTCCGTATGGTCAAAGCAATGGTATTCCCAGTAGTACTGTATGACTGTGAGAGTTGGACTATAAGGAAGGTCGAGTGCCGAAGAATAGATTCTTTTGAACTATGATGCTGGAGAAGACTTTTGAGAGTCCCCTGGACTGCAAGGAGATCAAATCAGTCAATCCTAAAAGAAATCAACCCTTACTGTTCCCTGGAAGGCCAGATACTGAAGCTGAAGCTCAAATAGTTTGGCCACCAAATGAGAAGGGAGCACTCACTGGAGAAGACCTTGATGCTGGGAAATATTGAAGGTCAAAGAAGAAGGGGACGGCAAAGGATGAGATGGTTAGACAGTGTTATCGAGGCAATGAACATGAAATTAAGCAAACTCCGGAGCACGACAGAAGAGAGGAGGGCCTGGTGTGATGTGGTCCATGGGGTCGCAAAGAGTCGGACTCGACTGTGCGACTGAACAACAACAACAGACACTATGTACACTTTTGGGTAAGCATGCATAGGCGGTGGTCAAGGCCCTCACACGCATTCCTGTTCTATCCATGTTAACTTGTCCCTGCATAGGTGCTGTGTGTATGGGACTAGAGCTTGGAGATAACAGACCAAATTCTGTCTGTTTCTCACGAGTGTTTGCTTCCCCTAAGCCCTTCCACCTCAAGACCCTATGGCCTGGCTCATTCTGTTATCTCCAAGCTCTAGTCCCATATACACAGCACCTATGCAGGCACAAGGATTACATCTCTCCCCAAATCATTGATCTCTTTTTTTCTCGAGCAGAAGATAAAAGCAAACACTCGTAAGTACATTATCCTGCTCTCCCTACTTGGTGATGATTACCAGGACAAAGTTCAGTTAATAGCATCTCCTTTCGAAGAATAATACCCATAATGCTTTATGGCATAATTTCCGGTAACAGGAAATTTGTATAGTTTCAGAGGGTAACCATGTTGGTTTGCAATAGAACCGCCAGGTTTGAATCCAGAAGACCAACAAGGCTTTCAAGAGTCAAAGCTCACCAATTAGTCTCTAAGGTGCTACTGGACTCAAATCAAGAAAATTGTAATTGGCAGGCAAAACTTACCTTGAATTTTTAATTTGATCTTCCCAAGGGCAGTGCCTGCTGGATTCTGAGCAACACACATATATGTTCCAGCATCTTCAACTGTAGCTCTTGTGATCTGCAGACTTCCACTGGGCAGAATGGTATACCTGTTACCTAGAATGCATGTAAGAAATGTGCTAAATAGGACAGCCACTGTGGGGGAGAGCAAGGACAGTTTAAATCAGAATCTGACAAAAGACTGAAGGAACTGCATATGTCTAATCTAACAGGGGAAAATATTTATGCTGTTTCAGATGTTTACCCTGATGTCAGAAAGAAGGAATAGCTAAATGATGAATCCAGCGAGAACATTAAAATTACCATGGATTTAAGCTCTGGCAGCAAGAGATAGGTAAAACATAAAGAGTAACATTCATTTGTCTGAAAATGTATATGCTGCCTCTCCAGAACACACTTGGGCTGGCTTACAGTTTAAACAACAATAGCAACAAGTAAATAAAAACAAGCCAAGACATTGAAGCAATAAGCCCAAATTCTCATCACTGTGAGAATAAAGTAGTGGAATAAATTTCCTAGTGCAGCTGTGAATTCTTTTCTCTTGGATTTTTCAAGATGAAGTTGGACAGGCATTTCTCAGATCTGGTTCTTACACATAAGTCCTTCATTTAACTTCTGTTGATCACTGTACATTCAATGATGGGCAATGGAATAGGTGGAATAATTCCTGTAAAAAGCATTATGTCCTTTGAGGTGAAATGAAAGACCTGTTTTCATATGGGCTGTTTTCATATGTAAGTTATCACTTGATGTTGCAGTCAGCAAATGATGAACATACATGTGTGAACCAGCAGATGCTTTTCGGTTACATCTGCACATCATTGGCTATTGTGCTATTGGTGCACTATGGTAATCATTTGCAGTTAGATTCTCTTATCCACAGAGCCAAATCATGGCAAATGGTTGCTATAACACACCAATAGTGCAACATTTATGAATGGTAATACTTTCTGAGGGTACCAAAGTGTGATGCTGCATGTTACAAAATGTAAAAAAAAACCAGAAAAATTGTAAAGCAAACCAGAATACCTGTTGTGACAACATTGATGCCTTCTTTCTGCCATGTTATGACAGGACGAGGTACACCTACTGCTTCACATGGTAAGAGAACTGGATTATTTAGAATAACTTCAAGTGTTCCAGATGGTACTTGGATAGCTGGTGGTTCTGGAATATAGAGGTTCACATAAAAAGAGCTGATTTCCATAGCTCTTTTTGCATTATAATCATAATCTCATCTCTTCACAATGCAGTCTAGCAAAAAGTTCACACAAATGGTGAGATACATACATTTGCAGATACCGGAAGATGGACCCATTGTAAATTAACAAATTCATATTGGATCAGTCATTATAAACACAGCAAACGTTGGACAATGAGATGTCTGTAAGATAACCACTTTGGACTCAGTTATCTGCTTACAAAGCTAGTTTGTCAGTTTAGTGCAGTCTTCATTCCTCCTCATGTGGAGTAGTAACAGGTGACTGAATCCCATTTGTTTTTCCATTTGCATAAGAGAGAGGTGGGACAGCCTTGCCTGATTTGCCTCCTCACTGCAGCCCAGAGTCTGCATGATCCCCAGCAGTACTTTTTCAGGGCTAACTTTTCAGGGTATTCTTTATCAGTGCAAAAGTCAGCAGAATCCAGACCAAATTCTTGGTGTTTTTTGTTCCATTAGTAAAATATTTTTGTTTTTCAAGTTGATGGTATCAGAGAAATAAGTATTCTTTGCTGCCATCACCATCACAGAATAGGCCTTCAAATGGTCTCTAGACCATGTTTGATCATATTTGCTTCAAGTTTCCTCCTACCTAGGTTCAAGCCATTACACTGCCTTCTTAGCTCTCTTAGGTTCAAATTAAAATATAGTAAAATCAGGACCTTAAATGGTAAGGCATGGGCATCCATGAGTTACCATGTTCACCATCCAAGCCAAATTAGTATACCAAGAAAGGGCTAGGATTTCAGAAGGAAAGCCAACCAAGTCACCAATTCATCCTAAGTATTATGAAAAACCATCCGAATAGGTCAATAGGAGCCAAAGTTCAGCCTTCACAAATAGGGATGGGCACAATCTGTAGTTTCGCAGTTCGGTTCAGAGTTTGTAGCTGAACCATGAACCTAACCATGAACCAATACACTGGTTCACAAACTGAACCAGTTCATATCAGTACATGAGCCAAAGTTTAAACCCCTGCTTTCTGCTCCCTGTGGCTTTTCACAGGGAGCAGAAAGCAGGGGGGCATTTAAACCAAACAGCTGAGCAGCAGGGAACTCCTAGCTACTTAGCTGTTTGGTTTAAATGCCAGTGAGCTTTTTGCAAGGAGCAGAAAGCAATGTTAGCAGTGCCACTCAGCTAATTTGGTTTAAATGGGCCCCTGCTTTCTGCTCCCACTGTCTTTTCATAGGGAGCAGAAAGCAGGGGTTTAAATAGCTGAGGGCCATTTAATTCAAACAGCTGAGTGGCAGGGAGCTTCCCACAGCTGTTTTTTGTGAAGAGTAGAAAGCAGGGGTTTAAACCCCTGCTTTCTGCTCTTCACGAACCACCGTGAACTGTGTTCACAGTGGTTCTTCCGTTCAGAAACATTGCTTCACGATCCACGGACTGGCCAAAATTCATGACGAAGTTTAGTTTGTCAGCCGATTCATGCCCATCCCTATTCACAAATCAGAAATCCATTAATGACAACTAGGTGGGGGCAGGTTGCTTCCCCTTTACAGTAAGTAACCCTGTTGCTTTAAGCAACAAAAGTTTACTTTAAAAAAGCATGTACATATTATTTAAATGAAAACAGATTCCTGAATTAAAACAGACCTACACATTTAAAGTAATTATGTAGCACTGTCCCACTGGGACTGCATGGCTCCAGATGGAGAAACACATGATTGAATGTGTGAACGTTCCCTGCATATAGAAACTTAGCATTTCTCAAACTTGACTATGGTTCCCCCTTTATTTATTTATTTGTTGGATTTCTACCCCGCCCTCCCGCCGAAGCAGCTCAGGGCGGCTTTCTCTGACATATGAGTTTTCTAAGCACTGAGAACTTTTCACATGGAAGATTTGAGTTTCATTCATACAAACCCTGTCTGCATAGAGTGGCACAGTTCCAACTGGGCAGTACCATATAACTATTCTAAATGCTCTTAGATATCAAGGTTCTGATGAAAATTCTCTTTGAGACAGACAAGAAATATACAAGTTCCCACCTCACCCTGAACATGAAGAATAACATGTCTATGTGCAGAGCCTGCAGCATTCCGTGCTGTACAGGTGTACCTTCCTGCATTGTCCAGCTGAGCAGCAGCTATTTCAACAGCACCTATGGAAAGGGAGCAAAAACTTTAACAAAGCATAGTCAAACCATGATTAGGGGCCTCTTATATCTACCAGGCAGTTCAAGACCAGTTTCCAAGCACTTCAGAAAGCAAAGTACAGTCAATGTACAAATCACAAACAATTCCTTCAGTTACAAGCCGCTCTGCAAGTATTGAGGAGAGCTCCCAGACAAAAATTCCTTGACCTGATACAAGCGTAGGGGAAGGAAAAATCACATGACATGCTCAGCTCCAGGTGCCCCCAGGATGAGCAGAGCTTTGTTCCCCTATTTTCTTTGCTTGGCAGCCCTATGCAATGCAAGCAGCGAGAATGGTGCAAAGATCTATTCCTAGAGAAGTTCTTGATGTATGAGCCTTTAAAAGAAGGAGCTCTGAGTCCTCATGTGTGTCCGAGGTAATACAGACAAAACTCACAGCAAAACTCAAGAGCTGAAGCAGCAGGGTCTGTTGGAACCCCAGGGATGTGGGGAATCCCTAGTGATTAGGTGCCAGACTTGCAGGAGGATGGAAAGAGGCCACAGGGGGTTAGATGGTAGCCTTTGGCAACAGAAACAGAGCTATCACACATCTTGCTGCTTCTAGCAGTAGGAAGACTTTTATTTATGGCTGCAGTCTTTTTGCTGAAAGTACACATCATCAGTCCACTCACTTTTTGCAAAAGCCTGGCTCCCAGTTCCCCACTGCATATCAATGAGGATGAATAATGGTGCTTAAGCCCTATCACCACCCACCGATTTGCCTTGCAGCTCCCCAACTCCTTTTCTCATTGCAGGAGTCCATACCCACTTCCTGTGTCCCATGTGTGCACAGCAGGAGTGCAGAGTTTTCCCACATTTCTCTCTGCTCCTCAGCCTATTTCAAATCATTCATGGTATTATGGGACCCATAAAGGGAATAACTTCATAAGTCAGGATGCTGCAGTGAGGAGCATGAAATTTTCCCTTCATCTCTCCTCTGTCAACAGAGCTACCCTTACAGAAGACACAGAGGAACTATTTCATTCCTTTCCCTCTTCCCCCTGCACCATCCAAATCCATGTAGATATTCCTCTGGACAGGTACTGAGACCCCAGGAATGAATGTCTCTGGGCGTCAAAAGGGGTTGCAGGAATAGAAAGGAGTGCATGGAATGATGGAAACCAATGTTCTGTGCATGCATGGTTAGATACATGCGTCTATCATGCCTAGGCTGGGGTAGCGGGTAAGCAAGGAGGAGCTTCATGAGAAAAATGGTGAGCCAGAGAAGCACCCCTGCCATTATTCCTCCACCACTTCTTCCCTGGAAATTGGTCTCTTCAGATGTCACTTGCAGTAGAAAAATAGCAGGTAGTAGTACAGAAACATGAGTTGACAGGAAATGTGCATCTGGTCAAAAGCTCCAGCACTGATTGAAAAGTTTTGAGAACAAAACCGTCACTATATTCCATATTTTAAGGAATGTTAAAATTCAGAAAGGCCCTCAAAATCATTGTAAATGTGTAACCTGAAGAGAGGATTCTGTAGCCATTTCCTCGAGGAGGAAGTCGTATCCCATTTTTGGTCCAGTGGATTGTGGGCAAAGGAACACCTGATGCAGTGCAGGGAATGACTACTGGAGACAGTTTTGTTACCAGCAGATCTGTAACTTCATCTGCCAAGGATGGTGGAACTAAAGTGAGGAAAATAGGGAAAAACAGAACTAGTGACCATTCATGTTTATTGCATATTGCTATGTCACCTTGAATGGATTTCAGAGGACCAACAGAAGAAGCACAACCTGATGGGCATATAATATAAACACTCTACAAGACCTACTATTAAAGATGACATGAAGGGAGTGGCCATATCATCACACAGTTTCTGTATCTTCATGTAGTTTCTGGCCCAGGTGCTCCATTTTTTGGAGCAGTGATGGGTTCCTAGTTTAGGCAGCAATGTGGGCAAAGGCTCAGTAGTTTTGAGACAGGCTGAATTTGTTTGGGGTATTGGGATGAATAGTGGGAGGAGCCACTTCTTCATTTGTTCTGGGTTGCGGAAGATATGACGATGGGAGGAAGAAGTCTAATTTGGTGTAGTGACTAAGTGGTTCTCTAATTTGGGAGAACCGGGTTTGATTCCCCACTCCTCCACTTGCACCTGGCTGGATGACCTTGGGCAAGCCATAGTTCTGATAAGAGCTGTTCTTGAAAAAAGAGCAGTTTCTGTCAGAGCTCTCTCAGCCCTGCCTACCTCACAGGGTGTCTGTTGTGGGGAGGGGAAGGGAAAGGGGTTTGTAAGCCACCCTTAGACACCTTTGGATAGTGAAGGACGGGGTATAAATCCAATCTCTTCTCCTCTTCTTCTTCTTCTTAAGGGAAAGGGAAGTCGGACAACTGATGACCGTCCCTTCTTCTGGACTCTCTCTTAACGTTTTGAAAACCTGACATATTCTGCTGCCATAAGGCATATGAACCCTTATCTGGATGTGTGTGAATTATCTAGGAAGTATTGCTCTCAGCTGTTTATCCTCAGAGACATCATGTATGCAAATCTGATTGGCTACGTAAGTGTTGTAAGATCAAGTTCTGTATGTGGGACTGCCCAGGTGGAAGGAGATGCAGTAATTCAATGAAAAACTGGCTGCTGCACATAAAACAAATAATAGCAACACAAACAATTGAAAAAAGATTTTTTTAAAATTAAAGAGCGATATCAGACAATGTTTCTCTGCCCAAAGAGAACTGCTTTCAACCTGAAAACTGAAACAGAAGAATTGTAAGGAGAGAGATGAAATTTTCAAACACTGATTGCATAGTTATATGAATAAGTATCAGTTTTGATTTAACAATCGTCTATAAAAATGAACTGCAGACTGGAAGGTCGGTAGTTTGGCAGTTCGAGACCCTAGTGCTGTGTGACGGAGTGAGCTCCCATCTTTGGTCCCAGCTCCTGCCAACCTAGCAGTTCAAAAGCAAGAAATTGCAAGTACATAAATAGGTACCACTTTGGTGGGAAGGTAACAGCATTCCGTGCACCTCGGTGTTTAGTCATGCTGGCCACATGACCATGGAAACAGCGCTGGATCTTCGGCTTGGAAACGGAGATGAACACCGTCCCCTAGAGTCAGATTCGACTGGCTTTCGAGCAAGGGAAACCTTTACCTTTACTATAAAAATGTCTAGAGATTCAGGTGGGTAGCCATGTTGGTCTGAAGAAATAGAACAAAATTTGAGTCCAGTAGCAGCTTTAAGACCACCAAAGTTAATTCTGAGTATAAGTTTCCATGTGCATGTATCTGAAGAAGTTTGCATGTGCATGAAAGTTTATACCCAGAATAAAACTTTCGTGTTCTTAAAGGTGCCATTGGACTCAAACTTTGTTCTATATAAATGTATGTAAGTGTATATATCTTTAAACGTTGTGATTATGGACAATTAACTTGGAATTTTGGACGACCTTTATCCATTTTCCAAGTGCTGTATTTAGTGCTCTGCCCACCGGGGGCTTTTTTGCTTCCTATCTCCAGTAAAAGCCCTCTGTGTCCCCTGAAAGTTGGGAATGCCACAGCATGATCCACAAGAAGCTTCTACACAGAACTGAAAAATCAGGAATTTCTCCCAATGCATGCACAGGCTTCTCTTGATCCCAGCCCCTGACTGGAATGCAAGATGAACCCTCTATTTTCTATATAATACAACTTGGACATGTTACTGTTTCGTTACTCCATGCAAAAGAAAGCAAAGGGATTTTAGGGGAGGAAAGGTATGACGCTAAACACTGTATGTATACTGTACCTTGTACAATGAGAGTAATCAGTCTTTGATCCTCTCCAGCATCATTTGATACAATGCATTCATAGAGTGCTGTGTCATCAATAGTGGGAGAAATTATTACTAGTGACCCTGAAGACAAAAGCCTGCAATGAGAAAGAAGGGCTGGTTATACTTCTCTGCAGGAAAAAAAACCCCGCTGTTGGGGGGGGGGTACAGTTCAAATAATGCTACTCAGCTGGAGGGGGGGAGTGTAAAATCACAATTGCAAGAGAACTTCTAAACCAGTTCTATACCCTCAAGGCAAAAATTGCCACAAAATTACAAAACAGATCAGGATCAGCCTGGTAAATTTAGAGACGTGGTATCCATAGACTGATTCTGGATCAATCCTCAAAGCAGTCATGTCCAAATTGAAATTAATTCAGATCTGGCACCTTCCAGATGTATACCTTGCCTCCAAAAAGTCCCAAGGAAAGGGAGGAGGGCAGCAGGTAGGGGATCCTGCCATCTGAGGCTAGATGGGTGGTGACCCAAGAAAGGGCCTTCTCCATTGTGGCACCAAAACTTTGGAACTTCCTCCCCAAGAAGATTTTTCTGCCTCCCTCTATTGTGAGTCTTTCACCCACAGATGAAGACGTTTTTGTTTTGTCTGTTATACCCCCAATAAAAGTTTTGACCTTCCTTCTAGTACTGTATGTTTACATGTTTTAATTGATTTTTTATCATTCTAATTGTATTTTAATTCCTTAAATGTTTTTATGTTCGCCAACTTGTAGATCCTAATTGGATGGAAAGGGAGCATAATTTTTTTAAATAAATAAAATAAATTATCTAAGGGAGACCCCCCCCTACCCCTCTTGCAGTATCTCCAGCAACTGTCTCCTTAGTCTTCTTTATAAAATCTGTATGGAATAGTTGTGCTTGGTCTTCATCTACCCAGGCCAGAACAGCTTGTCTGAGATTTGGAATCAGAATCTTTGTACTGTGAAGGCAGCACACATACTTGTGGTGTCTGTAGCCAACACCTCAGTTTTAATGCACACATTCATAATGAAATTTTTAATGATAGTTTCTAAAGTAACTGTAAGCAGTTTGACTAGACAGTTGTCACTATATTGGTTTATGAGATGATATACAAAACACTGCCCAGAACGTTCTTGGAACAGATTACTTCCAAAAAAAGTCCTGAAGCATTTACTACAGTTGCTTAATTCACCAAAAATCCAATCCTATGGAAAAATTATGAAAAATAAACTCTCCTCTCTCCAATTTTAGGATTGAAAGCTTCTCAGAGCAGGGATTTTTTGTTTATAGTTCTCTGTAAAGGGCCACACATACCAAATGACTCTACAAATAACAATACAAGAGAGAAAACATTTTCTTTCACCTGAATGTGTTTTGATTCTGATCCACATTAAGGAAGTGCCCATTCTTCTTCCAAGTGATTGCTGGCTTAGGAATTCCTGTAGTCTCACATGGGAGAGTGGTTTGGACATTCACAGTTACTGTGATGTTGCTAGGCCCAAGAGCAATAGATGGAGGAACTAACAGAAGGCACAAAAGATAATGAATCAGTTTTCACCAAGATGGGGTAGCCGTGTTAGTCTGTCTGTAGCAGTAGAAAAGAGCAAGAGTCCAGTAGCCCCTTAAAGACTAACAAAATATGTGGCGGAGCAGGAGCTTTCATGAGTCACTGCTCAGTTCTTCAGATCTGAAGAAGTGAGCAGTGATTCCCAAAAGCTCCTACCCCGCCACATATTTTGTTAGATTTTAAGGGGCTACTGGACTCTTGCTCTTTTCTACAGTTTCCACCAAAAATCTGACAAGGACCTATCTGGGAGTCTGTGAACGTAAAAATTTGCATCTAATAATGAAAACCCTCAGTCCACTTGATTAAGATATTTATGAGAATCACATTAGTGCACTGGACTATGAAGGGAACCAGATTGCGCACACCAAATTGCAGTTGTTATTTTTTTATTGCTTGTGTTTAGAGGGCCGTCATTAGTTTGCAATTATCACCATGGCTAGCCATTACAATGTGGACCAAGCCAAAGAAGCTTGTATCTGTCCAGTTCAACAAATTAATACAAGAGGCCAAAACAATGAACAATTTTTGGTAGGGCTGACTGAGAACCCAAATATTTATCATAGGGATCAAAAATATGAATGTTTCCAGCTAGGGGAAACAATCAGGGTGCACTAGTACACACAAAACGATAAACCACTGTCGGGACTGGGATGTCTATGCACACCTGCCATATTCAAGATTTTGTCCTTCCTCTCCCCTTGGTTGAAGTTATTCAAGCTCTAAGCTTGAACAGTCTGCATTGAGCCAGAAAGCAGGTATGAGAGACATACACATACCCTCCTCATCCTTAGATCCAGGTGGGCAGCCATGTTGGTCTGAAGCAACAGAAGAAAGTTAGAGTCCAGGGCACCTTTAAAACCAACAAAGTTTTATTCAAGGTTTCATGTGCATGCACACTTCTTCAGGCACAATGAAGTGGAAATAGAAATAACACCCATACATATAGAGGGTGGGCAGTAAATTAGCATACAGAATAATGAAGATGTTTTTAAACATATTAAAAGAATAAAAAGCTTAGTTATATGGCTATCATCTATTTGGGTTCAACTGGTGGGGGGAATATAGCATGGAAATAAATATTTCAGAATTGGAGATTGATGTGTCCTTAATGGTGAGAGTCTGTCCTTAGGTTCCATCCATCTCCTCTCAAGCGTGAAGGCGCCCTCACAGCATCTTTTTCTTTGAAGTAATTGGCTGTGTACGGTTATTTTTCTTGCCCCCAGACCAGAGAAATACATTTAGATCTAGCATTCCAAAATACATCAATGCTTAATTACATTCTTCATTGTAAAGAGTAATAAACTGAGACTCCGGGTTAACTAATAGCATCCTTTTCTTAGAGGTGCTATGTCAGAGAATTCTATTCTAATATATTGTATATTGTGTGTATGGCTGTTATTTCTATTTCCATTTCATTGTGTCTGAAGAAGTGTGCATGCTCATGAAAGCTCATACCTGGAATAAAACTTTGTTGGTCTTAAAGGTGCTGCTGGACTCTAGCTTCCTCCTCCTCCTTGTAACAGCACAAAACCATGTGCTCCTGAGCAGGGGAATGGAGAAAACTAGGGTTTATTGAGTCCTATGATGATCCTTCCACCTGTTGGCAATGTTGAGATTGCAAATCTAGGGGTCCATTACAGTTTACTAACATGTTTATTTGAACTTACCATGGACCTGTAGATCAATCCACTTGCGCTCCATACCAGCAACATTGGTTGCCATACAAAGGTAGCGTCCTGTGTCCATAACATGTGCTGAATGTATGTGAAGAGATCCATCGTCTGATATTGAATATCTAAAACAAGTCATAGATTATTTAATAAAAGACACACATGTACTACACAGTTATTTCTCTGTTCACAGTCTTTGCTTCTCTCTGACCCACATTTCAAAATGGAATCCATTTAACAAATTGTAGCAGAAACCCCCATACAAACTTTTTTTTTTAAAGGAACGGTGTGGAGATTTGGGGCTTTGTCTTCAGTTTCACCACAAAGACTCAGAAAGCCAATTTTAAAAAATGGACTGGGGGGGGAATGCTAATCCTTTCCTGATTGCTGTAAAGGTAAAGGTTCCCTTGCTCGAAAGCCAGTCAAATCCGACTCTAGGGTTGCGGTGCTCATCTCCATTTCAAAGCCGAAGAGCCAGCGCTGTCCGAAGACATTTCTGTGGTCACGTGGCCGGCATGACTAAACACCAAGGTGCACGGAATGCTGTTACCTTCCCACCAAAGTGGTACCTATTTATCTACTTGCAATTTCTTGCTTTCGAACTGCTAGGTCGGCAGGAGCTGGAACTAGAGACGGGAGCTCACTCCGTCTTGCGGCACCCGGTCTCGAACTGCTGAACTACTGACCTTCCACAGCCTGCAATTCAGCATCTTAACCACTTGAGCCACCACATGCTCTTCACAACAAGGATGGTGGACATGCATTTTGTACTAGGTATCTGTCCCTGAGTACTAAATGTAAAACACTACCTAAAGACCTCAAAACATTGCTATCTCATCACCACAGAGTACAAGCCATGCTACAATAAAATCAATCACACAGTTCTTAAAAGGGAGGGGTCACTAAAGAGGAGAGAGCAAGGTGACATTGCTCACCACCCCTCCATGCAGATGTTGCAGAGGTCTTCAGGCTATCTCAGAAGACATAATCACTTAACACTCCCTACATATATGGATGTTTGGTGCCTCCATTTGTTTACTCAAGATACTTGGCTGCAGATAGTAATGGAACAAAAGATTCCTGAAAATCTGTTGTGATGTTGGTTCCTGAGTGCTGCCAAGATGTATTTGGCTAGACGCTGGCCATTTTGGAAGCTAAAAGAACTTTGGAGGGGCAGCTAATTAGAATCAGAGGAAAAGTTGATCTTAATGGATCACACACACACATCCAAAAACTCTTTAAGCTACCAAGAGGGAAGATCTCCAATATTTTATAACATCCTGAAATGGAAGGGAAATTTTGGACTGGGGATTTGTACCCACATGTGAATCATTCAGAGCACACTCCACCTTCCCATGCAGGGTGGGGTGGGAGAGGTAACAGCCTCCCTC